CATGAGAGTAGTAATCAATATTAGTGTAGAAATACATGGGTTGGTGATAATATGAGAATTCTGAGGAAATTTTGAAAAGCTCTTAGTGCTTTCTGTACACTCCTACTCGAATTCGTGTGTAAACTTTATAACATTTGAGGAAACTCCTGAGCTCAGCTGAGGAATGTGCGCAATATTGGGTTCCCATTGGGTGCCTCTAGGGAAAAGCAATGGTTCGTGTTGGTGACCTTGGACCTGAGCACTGAGGATAGATTTCCCTCTCTGTGGAGCCGCTCTAGCCTTATCTGGTCGAGGAGCTTTTTATACTTTTATACTTCCTTATTCGCTTTAATATTTCATCTGTTGTGGTGTAGGACGTGTAAGGCGCTACTGTTTATGTTTTCAGAAAGAGGTAGTGCCCGCTCGGAGGCGTCACCATGGATCGCCACCGCAGTTATGGAAAGTCTCTCCTCCTCCTAAAAACTTCCACAAGGAGACCTTGGAGTTTTTCCCTACTATTTCTCGACGGCCCCCACCTGAGCGGACTCGACGGACTAGTAATGGGGCCTCGCCTAGAGACCAGCGGCAGTCGAGGACAAATAGCGCGCGCCCGGTGGTTCGGAAGCATTGGCGACAACTACTGGGCGCTGTGGTAAAGCAGCTCCAAGGCATACCCCAGGGGTGCTCCTTTTTGAAGCCAGTTCATAAGTACACGGATATTCCCATCGAGAATCGGAAAGCCTATTATCGCATGATCAAGCGTCCTGTGGACTTGGATTCTATAGCGCACAACTTGGACCGGTACCCGAGCCCGAAGGACTTCATAGAGGATCTAGAACTGATGTTCGATAACTGCTTTGCATTTAACAAGCCTGGTGATGATGTGTATATAGCTGGCTCGCAGTTGAGGAAGATATATAGAGAGAGCTATGATTTAATGCGAGAGCAAATTGACGCGAGTTATACAGCTGAGTTGGATGAGGGCGTGGCCTCTGACCCGGGTGTTTGGAAGGTGCCCAGGTTCGATCCCGAGCCGCCGCAGTTCGAGCCCCCCAAGGGCTGGTGGACTGAAGCTGAGGAGGGCTCCTCGAGGAAGCGTCCACGAGGGGAGGACGAGAGGGGAGAGGAGGAAGCCTCCACAACAGCAGTGGATGAGGGTGGAGGGACGGCGGCGGCGGCGGTGTTGAGGAAACGGGCAAGAGTGCAAGAAGAGCCGCAGAAGTCTTCGGGTTCGAGTAAGGCGGCATCGCCGGCGGCGGCGAGTTCGAGTGAGGTGGGGACGGTGAAGGGGAGGAAGGGCAGTAGGGGGAAGAAGGGGAAGACGGGGAGAGAGAAGCATAAGGGGAAGAAGGGTGGTGGTGATCATGATGACGACACTCTTGATGATGTACGGGAGAGAGTTGTGGCTAAACTGTTAATGAAGAAGGAGAGGAAGGAGGCTAGTGAGGGGAAGAGTAGGGAGGTTGTGGTTAATAGATTGGTAGAGGAGGGGAAAGCTGGGGCTGGTGTTGATGATGATGGTAATGAGCAAACGAAAGCTAGTGAGGAGAAGCCAAGTGAGCAACAGAAGAAGGCCAGACGTGGTGGGAAGAAGAGTGCCGTTACCAAGAAAGGTGCTGATGTACGCCGGGAAAAGGCTCGATCGAAGAAAGCCCCGAAGAAGAAGGCGGCGGCGACAGCCTCCCCTACTGCTTCCCCCGACCACAGTGAGGGTTCTCCATCCGAGCAAACATCTCCGTCCAGTTCTCTTCTTGCAACGAAGCGCGCCGGGTCGGGGAGTGAAGCAAAGGCCTCGTCACCGCATGGTGGAAGTAGCCCGAGTCCGAGCGCTAGTAGTTCTGGTGACGATAGCGCGCCCATATCTTCTCTCGTGTTCGACAAGAACTCTGATGCAGAGGAAAAAATGCAGAATATCGTATCGAGCTTCCACGATGCGATGGGCAAGACCGAGAAGCCTGCACGAGGGAAGAAGCGGAAGAAGCGTGGTACTG